TACACAGAGGCTTTTACACAGAGGCTTTTACACACAGACGCTTTTACACACAACAGACACTTACACAGACACTTTGAAACACAGACGCTTTTACACACAGACGCTTTTACACACAGACCCTTTTACACACAGACGCTTTTACACACAAACACTTTGACACACAGACGCTTTTACACACAGATGCTTTTACACACAGACACTTTTACACACAGAGGCTTTTAGACACAGAGGCTTTTACACAGACACTTTTACACAGACGAAAGCGTTGCGATTGACTAAGAAAAATCGTAATTTTTCCTCAGTTTTTGACGTCCAACGTCCATTTCGTGCGAAAGGGTTACGATTGAGCAAGTAAAATCGCAATTTTTCCTCAGTTTTTGACGTCCAACGTCCATTTCGTGCGTAAGGGTTGCGATTGACATCTCAAAGTCGCAATTTTTCCTCAGTTTTTGACGTCCAACGTCCATTTCGTGTGTAAGGGTTGCGATTGACAACTCAAAGTCGCAATTTTTACCTAGGTTTTGGACGTCCAACGTCCATTTCGTGCGAAAGGGTTGCGCGCGACCAATAAAAGTTGCAACTTTTCCTCCGTTTTTGACGTCCAACGTCCATTTCGTGCGAAAGGGTTGCGCGCGACGCATCAAAATCGCAATTTTTACCTAGGTTTTGGACGTCCAACGTCCATTTCGTGCGAAAGGGTTGCGCGCGACCAATAAAAGTTGCAACTTTTCCTCCGTTTTTGACGTCCAACGTCCATTTCGTGCGAAAGGGTTGCGCGCGACCAATAAAAGTTGCAGTTTTTCATCAGTTTTTGACGTCCAACGTCCATTTCGTGCGAAAGGGTTGCGCGCGACCAATAAAAGTTGCAGTTTTTCCTCAGTTTTTGACGTCCAACGTCCATTTCGTGCGAAAGGGTTGCCGGGGACGCTTCAAAATCGCAATTTTACCTAGGTTTTGGACGTCCAACGTCCATTTCGTGCGAAAGGGTTGCGTTTCGTGGCGCTCCGGCGGCACCGCCCCCGCCTAAAGAGAGAAATAGAAGAAGAGCGAGAGGAGATCTGCAGATGTGAAGGTGTGAAGATGTAGATCGGCAGATGTGAGGGTGTGAAGATGTAGATCTGCAGATTTGAGGGTGTGAAGATCTAGAACTGCAGGTGTGAGGGTGTGAAGATCTAGATCTGCAGGTGTGAGGGTGTGAAGATCTAGATCTGCAGATGTGAGGGTGTGAAGATCTAGATCTGCAGATATGAGGGTGTGAAGATCTAGATCTGCAGATGTGAAGGTGTGAAGATCTAGATCTGCAGATGTGAGGGTGTGAAGATGTAGATCTGCAGATGTGAGGGTGTGAAGATCTAGATCTGCAGATGTGAAGGTGTGAAGATCTAGATCGGCAGATGTGAGGGTGTGAAGATGTAGATCTGCAGATGTGAGGGTGTGAAGATCTAGATCTGCAGATGTGAAGGTGTGAAGATCTAGATCTGCAGGTGTGAAGATGTGAAGATCTAGATCAGCAGATGTGAAGGTGTGAAGATCTAGATCTGCAGGTGTGAAGATGTGAAGATCTAGATCAGCAGATGTGAAGGTGTGAAGATGTAGTATAACGGCTGCTTTTTTACGAAGAACCCTTCGCAGGCGCTCTCGGGAAAAAACTAGTTTAACAAAACTCGGTAACAAAAAACTCGGCAGCTCGGCAACACCATCTTGCATCATCTCGCAATGCCTCTGCATCCGAATTTCCACAGCATCGGACGACGCGGATGACGCGGTCCCATGCTCCATTCGCACAGACGTTCCCGTCAGCAAATGAAACAGCGACCACAAAACGTCCACAAATGTCACGGGTGCGTGACTTCAAACAAACATTTTGCATTCAGAAATTCCGAGACATGCATACCTATTCCCTTGATTTCAAAACAATGCCATGACATGCTTGATTTCAAAACAAACTTGAACGGTACAATATTGAACGGTACAATGATTCCCGTAGTATTTTTTTGTCCACTGCTCATGCATTTCAATGAAAACATCACATATATATTTTTTTGTGGTATACATCACATAGATCCACTGCATCGTAAACAAACACTGACATTGTCACAATGCAATTCTCGAGATCTCACGGACAGCCCCTACAGAAAACTCGAGAAGTGCAAGAAATGTTACAGATACCCGTTTGCCAATCGTCACTTGTTTCACGAACATTCAGCGTACATATAAGAATATGGATGTTCACTCTGTGCACAATGCATCTTGTCTCTACGTTCACGTCTGAGCCCAGGAAAGAGGTACTTGGTAACTTCTACAACTTCATGCACTAACCTGCTACACACTCGCACAATTCAATGCAAAGAATGTGTTGTTCGAAGCCTGAGACCACGACTCCTGTGTTTGACAAGCAAAAATCATTGTCGCATAGACATGCAAACTGAACAGTGAAGCTCACTATGAACATATCAATTCCCACACAGATTACCACACCAAACGAACCAAGCTCCGCACGTCCTAGCACGGATACACTAGCAAGCATTGTCACCCTCAATCTCTAACAGTTCCATGTCGTGCGGTTAAAGTACACACAAAATCTTTTACACACAAACGCTTTTACACATGGTGCTTTTACACAAACACACTTTGACACACAGACGCTTTGACACACAAAAGCCTTTACACACAAACGCTTTTACACACAGACGCTTTTACACACAGACGCAACGCTTTTACACACAGACGCTTTTACACACAAAAGCTTTTACACACAGACGGTTTTACACACAGACGCTTCTACACGCAGATGCGTTTTACACACGCACACACGCTTTCACACACAAACGCTTTTACACGCTTTCACCCACAAACGCTTTTACACACAGACGCTTTTGCACGCAGATGCTTTTTACACACGCACAGACGCTTTCACACACAAACGCTTTTACACACAGACGCTTTTACACACAGACACATGTACAGAAACGAAAGCGCCCATCGCAATTTTTCCTCAGTTTTTGACGTCCAACGTCCATTTCGTGCGAAAGGGTTACGATTGACCAAGTAAAATCGCAATTTTTCCTCAGTTTTTGACGTCCAACGTCCATTTCGTGCGAAAGGGTTGCGATTGACACCTCAAAGTCGCAATTTTTCCTCAGTTTTTGACGTCCAACGTCCATTTCGTGCGTAAGGGTTGCGATTGACACCTCAAAGTCGCAATTTTTCCACAGTTTTTGACGTCCAACGTCCATTTCGTGCGAAAGGGTTGCGCGCGACGCATCAAAATCGCAATTTTTACCTAGGTTTTGGACGTCCAACGTCCATTTCGTGCGAAAGGGTTGCGCGCGACCAATAAAAGTTGCAACTTTTCCTCCGTTTTTGACGTCCAACGTCCATTTCGTGCGAAAGGGTTGCGCGCGACCAATAAAAGTTGCAGTTTTTCATCAGTTTTTGACGTCCAACGTCCATTTCGTGCGAAAGGGTTGCGCGCGACCAATAAAAGTTGCAATTTTTCCTCAGTTTTTGACGTCCAACGTCCATTTCGTGCGAAAGGGTTGCGCGCGACGCATCAAAATCGCAATTTTACCTAGGTTTTGGACGTCCAATGTCCATTTCGTGCGAAAGGGTTGCGTTTCGTGGCACTCCGGCGGCACCGCCCCCGCCTTAAGAGAGAATAGAAGAAGAGCGAGAGGAGATCTGCAGATGTGAAGGTGTGAAGATCTAGATCTGCAGGTGTGAGGGTGTGAAGATCTAGATCTGCAGGTGTGAAGGTGTGATGATGTAGATCTGCAGGTGTGAAGGTGTGATGATGTAGATCTGCAGATGTGAGGGTGTGAAGATCTAGATCTGCAGGTGTGAAGGTGTGAAGATCTAGATCTGCAGGTGTGAAGGTGTGAAGATCTAGATCTGCAGGTGTGAGGGTGTGAAGATCTAGATCTGCAGGTGTGAGGATGTGAAGATCTAGATCTGCAGGTGTGAGGGTGTGAAGATCTAGATCTGCAGATGTGAGGGTGTGAAGATCTAGATCTGCAGGTGTGAGGATGTGAAGATCTAGATCTGCAGATGTGAGGGTGTGAATATCTAGATCTGCAGATGTGAGGGTGCGAAGATCTAGATCTGCAGGTGTGAAGGTGTGAAGATGTAGATCAGCAGATGTGAAGGTGTGAAGATGTAGATCGGCAGATGTGAGAGTGTGAAGATCTAGATCTGCAGGTGTGAAGGTGTGAAGATCTAGATCTGCAGGTGTGAAGGTGTGAAGATCTAGATCTGCAGGTGTGAAGGTGTGAAGATCTAGTATAACGGCTGCTTTTTTACGAAGAACCCTTCGCAGGCGCTCTCGGGAAAAATCACGTAACAATCTCTAGAATCCACATTTAGTAGAAAGGTAAAAATTGATGTTAGTCTCTTGCGAGACACTTCGAAAATATATCCATATTTTGCACTTCCGCTGAACCAAGGGCCCACATTTAGTAGTGAAACTCCCCTAGTAACGAGATGGAGAAACTCAGGGAACTGAGGAGATGGAGATTGGGATATAGGAAAAAAATCCCCGTGTGAATTTCCCCTAGCAAATGCTATGACCTGGGCCCCGGAAAGTGAACCAAAGATTTTAGAGTGAAATTTCCAGAAACCATTTAGTAGAGAATCATGAGTTTTCACTGCGACCCGTTTTTCACTACAAAATGGTTACGCAAATGCATTTTGTAGTGACCCACATTGGCTTTTGATCCACCATAAAACCCCCAAAGCATTTTGTAGCAACGGGGTTGGTCCAGATTCAGGCAGCATTTTGTAGTAGAAGGCTGTGCTTGAAAACGGTTTAGTTGGCACAACTACCCTGCAGAATGCACACAGCGATATTGTATGCATACAGTACCGCATACGTATGTACATGCGTTATGCAGGTGAAATCACTTGTACGGAGTCACACTTGCAAGTGACTCAGTTGTTCATGCGCAATCGATTCTGGTGCAAGTGGAAGGAAAATATAATATCGTGCGGTGCCCGATCTTGTGATGGATTTCCATTTGCCGCCAGCCATAGAAGGCCTTTGGCTTGAACGGCTTCTACCATCAAGCTCCAATGCTTGCATGGTAGCGGAGCCTCCTTGAGAGGCGTGCGAGAAAAGAATCCAGGAAGGCAACGCTCGCCAGGCCAGTGTTGAGAAGAAAGCGATGGAGATTGAAAGATCGAAGGGTGGTGTGCCGATATGGAATGGCAAAGTATCGTCATTTCAGGCCTACGAAGGGCTGGCGCTGCAATGGGAACGGGGAATTTCATGGCACAGGCGCAGCCTATGAAGTCTTCGACTTGTCAGTGAACTGACTGGTGTAGCAAGGAGGTACATCCTGGGAAAAAGACTTGACTGGGTCCTTTCCAGGAGGGTTAGAGTATCTCATACGCCACCTGAGGCAGGCTCTTGTGAGACCTCAGATCTCCGACATGACCGACTACTTGAACAAGTACTTCAAATCCACGTAGCGGAGGAAGCTGGAGTCTATGAATGACTCTATCACCAGGAAGACTGAGGTATGTGGCCGTGCCAAACAAGCCTATAGAAGAGTTGCTGATGAACACCGTGGGGGGCGTCAGCACCACTGTGCCAGAAGCAGGTCTACGGCCTCCAGCAGCTGGTGGGAAGCCAACCGAGTGGTCGCGATCAGAACCGAGAAGAAGAGGAAGCCTCGATCTGAGGATCGCAAGGCGGCTGAGGACGAGGAGCGCTGGTATGATGCTCTACACGGAGAAGATGATCAGTGGGACGGCAGCCATTACTCGTCTCAGGGTCGTCCTTCGTGGTTTCACCATGAAGAGGAAGCTTGGGCCGTGGATACACCTCGGATACACAAGAGCTGTTACCAGACTTTGTTCAAGGCTAGTACCTCCTACAGGACGCAGCTTTTGGGGCCCATGAAAAGAATGTGGTGATGACGGCTCTGCAGGACAAAAGTTCCACAAGAGCCAAGAGCTCAGGAACCAATGGCCCGAAGAAGAGCTGCGCCTATGACCAGCGCCAGAAACAACATGGCATGTGGAAAGATCGGGATGAACCTGGTGATGAACTTGATGAGATTGTCGAGACCTTCTGCAACCATGATGATCTTGTGCATCCGGTATGCGCCCTGAGGGTCTAGCAATGATGGGCGAAGCCGAAGAAGACGTGGAGCGCGCCTAAGGGAAGAGGGCACTCAAATATGCCCCTTTCCGTCAGGACCAGAATCAAATGTCCCGTCAATACTACAAGACTAGCTATGGCAGAGGCCGGTCCTATGAGAAAGGAGGTGGAAAGGGAAAGAGTGGATCAATGACAGGCTTGCGATGTGAGGGAGGACACAAAACCTTTGAATGTCCTGACAAACAATTTCCAAAGCCACACGCCAACATGACCGAGTCAGCTCCCTTTGTCTGCTTTGCTGAAGCAGACGACGAGAAGGCTTACTACCAAGGCGAAGATCCCGGACATGACCTTCTGACCACAAGTGAGGCCGTCCAGCAAGGGTTTGGAATCATAGATGCGGGTGAATCACACTACCAGCTGAGCTACCTCGAAGTGAAGGTCCAGCAGCCCGAGTACTGCCAGTGGCTCATCAAAACCCAGCAAGAAGGTCCCTGCTGCTATCGCCTGCGGCGTCCCGCCCTGTGGCTGGAAGACACCAACGATATGACCATGAACCTTCCGCCCCATGACGGGCAACAATAAAGATGCGACCGGCAGCTCCAGCAAGAACCAAGCGCTGATGAAAGTCATGCAACAGAAGATGGAAAGTATGGAAGAGGAGCCGGAGGAAGTCCGCGGACGTCACCACAAGAAGTCCAAGACGAAGGCAGCAAGAGCACACCGTCGTGGGAGATGATGTCGCAGAATCCAGTCAACCAGTGAGAGAGCTGCCACAAGAAACCTGACCTGCACAGTAGATCAAAATCTCTGTGGACCACGCAACGGCCAGGAAGAAAAACAAGTGAAAACCACCTTGACAAATGAGGCTGTTAGTTTCTTGCAAGATTTCAACCAGGACATTACTGCCAATGCCTTTCGTGACGTCAGCCGTCGCAGCCCTTTTGTTTTGATGGAGGTAGCATGCAGTCCTGATAGTAGACTATCGGCAAAGATACAAAAGATCACGGGCCTGAAAGGCTCAGCAATTGGTTGTTCCCACTGGTCAGGAAATGACTTGAGCACAGGTGATGGGGTCAGGCTCACTTTGGGACTATAGACCATCACAAACCCATGCATTTACAATGTACACATAGCCACCGGGTGCGGACCCTACTCGCCAATACAGAACTTGAACCTGCGGAGTGGGGGCCAAAAACAAGAGTTAGAGAACAAGCGGCGGCAGGTTTGAAACAATATGTTGGAGGATTGTGTGTACGCCACTACTGCGGTCAAAAAGACATACATGTGGTTTGGGAATGGTCGGAATAATGTCAAGCATGGAGACTTCCGATTGTTCAAAAAGTGTTGAAAAAGTATCAGTTGTTTGGGGCTGTGACTCATGGTCATGGTTGCCCAGCGAACTTGCGTGAAACAAAATGAAACAAAAACAGGGCAGCTACGTAGAAAAGGATGGAAAATCATGACCGCTCACAAGAGATTTGCTGAGATGATGAACTTAAGGCGCAACTGCCCTAGAAACTATAAACATGCCGCATGTGAGGGAGCTTTCACACTAAAGACGGCATATTACACTTCTGAGTATGTGAGGCGGTACTGTAAGGCCATACTGCATGAAATGTCCTTTTCCCAGCTGGCTCAAGAGCTTAATGGAACCTCACAGGTGCCACTTCTTTTTGGGAGCAGCCTTCAACGCGTGTGCCCAGAACTGTTGTAGCATTCAACTGACATCAACTGCGGAATGTGCATTTGTGACTTGGGGAAGGAAACACCAGTGCCTTGGGTAAGCTTGGGCGATTTTTTTGTTGGGGAAAAAGATTTCACTTCTGAAAAAGACCGCAAAGTCCTTGAACAAAAACTTTACAAACTTCATGCCGCCACAGGTCACAGCAGTATCCGGAACATGGTCATTGCTCTTGAGAAAAGAGGGGCCCCAAAACATGTTGTTGACATGGCAAAAGGTTTCTGGTGTGCCGTGTGTGAAGAACATGGGAAACTGAAACCACGACATGCGGCGTCTGTGGAACCACTACCACCAAAGTGGGCGACAGCGTGCGCTGATGGAGGACATTGGGTTCACCCAGGAAATAATGAAACCTATGGCTTTGCCATTCTTATTGATGAGGGGTCACGATTCAGGGCTGCTCATATCTTGTGTCAAGAGAAGAAACAAACCATGTCAGCCAGGAGGTTTCTCTGTTATTTTCAAGAAGGTTGGACCCAATATTTTGGCAACCCCAAAACCTTAAGATTAGATCCGGCTGGTGCTTTTAGATCAAAGGAATTTGAAGCTTACTGTGACAAACACAGTATCTACTTGAGGCTCATTGGAAGTTTGGGGTCTTTGAACAGGCCACACGGGGTTTGAAAGGAATCATGAACCGTCTGGCCACTGAGGACGGAGAAATCACCTCAACTGAGGCAATAAACACTGCAGTGCGGGTGTTCAACGCGAGCGAGCGCGAGAGAGAGAGAGAGAGGGTTTTCAACAGTTCAACATGCACTTGGAAAGTCACCTGACTGCACTGGACGGTTTGTGAACAGTTTGGATGGTAGGGCTGCGGAAGCATTCATCGAAAACCCAAACGCCGAGTTTCAAACAAATGTGGAAAGAATGCGTGCAGCCGAACAAGCTCACTCCCAGTGGGCTGCAAAAATAAGAAAATCAAAAAAGCCATGAACTCTCGGGGACATAGGATGTTGAACTTCTATCCTGGGGATTTAGTATACTACTGGAGAAAACAGTTACCCAAATCTATGAGTGGTAATAAAAATTGGGATTTCTTGGGGCATGCCAGGGTTTCACTGAAACGAAACGAGACACAGACGGAGAGCTGACTCCCGGAAGTGCCATTTGGGTTGTAAGGGGAAGACGGCTGTTGAAATACATTCCTGAACAGCTCAGACATGCCACACATAGGGAAGAGCTGTTCGAAGGTAGATGACATGGACAAAAAGGCACCATGGACCATGCCTAGGATGGTAGGTAAGTCAACTAGGAAAACAAGAGTATGACGACCTGACCAAGGATGTCCCATCCCTGGAGGAATGGCAGCGAAATCAGGATCCGGAACAGATGCCAAATGTGGCAATGGACGAACCAGCATCAAGTTCATCCGGACCACCACCACCAAGATTGCGACACAGCTATAAGAGACCAGCGGAGGGCACCAGGGTTCACCAAGAAGGCACGGAAAAACAAAGTGGTGATAACCTGAAACGGAGCAGGGGGATTCCAAAGAAATTGCTGATGAGGACTTGTTTTGGGCTGTTTGGTGGACTGATGTTGATTTCTCTAGCGTGGGGGAAGAGAACCAACAAGTTTGGATTAACCCCGAAACTGCGGTTGAGGTTGCCATTGATGTTCCTACCACTAGAAGGGGGAGAACAACAGTTCGAACATGATATCCAGGGTTATTTCGTGGGTGCCCTCAAACGTCGTGCGGTAGAAGTGAGTGAGAAACGGATGGATCCAGAAACGAAACAGTTGCTTGATGCTGCGAAACAAATTGAGGTGAAAAACTTCACAGGTGCACAGGCTTTTGAGGCCATACCGGACCACATGAACCCCCCCAAAGAAATTGCTGCTAATGCGTTGGATTCTGGCCTGGACAGCCAAAGATGATGGAACTACCATACGGAAAGCTAGGGCTATTCTTCTGGGATATCAAGATCCAGGGCATGAACATCGGTCAACCACAACACCTGTTATTGTATGATCCGTCAGAGTTGCCAGCCGCAACTTCAGTATGCCGCTTGGAAGAAATGGAAGACCCAAAAAGGCGATGTGTCCCGAGCTTTTCTCCAAGGACGTGAGTATCCCGGGAGGTTATTTTGCATACCATGTGATGAAATATGCACAGCCATGGATCTGGAACCTGGACCAATCACCCGTGTCAAAAGAAGCTGTTACGGTTCCTATAGAATGGTAATGGTATCGTAGTTTTCCAGCTTTTTCGAATGAATAGGACTGGAGAAACTTTGAAGTGACCCACGCATGTGGGCCTGCAGACACGAGGGTATTCTTAAGGGGCTTATCATTTGTCATGTGGGTGATTTTCTGTTCAGTGGACCTGAAAAAGACACGTCATGGAATGAACTCCTGGTTAGAATCAACCAAGAGTTTTCGTAAGGAGATTGGCAATCGGGAGAACTCATTCAATGTCGAGTTGAAATCAAAGAAATGGAAGATCACAGCTACCAGTTGTCTCAGCCGCAGTACACTGAAAGAATGAAGTAAATTCCTGTTCCAGACACTCGAAAGCGAGAAGGAAACAGCCCAACAACAGACTGGGAACGAAGCCAACTACGAGCTGCATTGGGAGCTCTCAGCTAGCACGCGCAGCAGGTTGCGCCACACGTCAGTGCGGAAGTAAGCCTGTTGCTGAGTGAGGCCACAGAAAGCACAGTGGACGCGATCATCAGGACTCAGGACCAATAAATTTGATATGATTTGATAAATTTGTGTATGCAACTAGGATGCGTAAGGACCACATAAGGACCACAAGATCACGATACACAGTTTTCCGGAGGACACCGAACTGGGGTTGCACATGTGGTGTGATGCTGCTGGGCAAAATCGAAGGGATGGTAGTAGTACCCAGGGGCTGTTTTCGGGAATGACTCCTCTTAAACTGTTGGATGGGAACATGGAAAAGGTAACACCAGTTGCTTGGCATGCAAACAAAATAGACCGAGTAGCACGAAGCCCAGGGGCTGCTGAGGCAACAGCGGCCGTCAATGGTGAAGATTTGCTGTTCCATGCTAGGTTTCAATAGTTTTGAAAAAGACAAGACTGTGAACAGACTGGAGTGATAATTTCGGATTCTCGCTATGTGCTTGACAAACTCAACATCGAAGAATTGGCTACAAAGGGGGCCGAAAGGAGGACCGATTTAGAGTTGATGTGCATAAAATGTGCGCAGCAACGCTATGGCGTGATCGTTCGCTGGGCGCACTCAGAGGCTTAGCTAGTAAATGCCTTGAGGAGCACAAGAGATCGAGCTCTACTACCAGTTCAATAGCCAATGGCGACTTGTGAGTGATGAACAAATGAGATCAGCCAGGAAAAGAAGAGAAACCGGACTTCAAGCTTTAGACCAAGCACCACAGAAGACACAAAACACACATTCACACATGCAAAAAGGAGTCAGCTGCGTTTGATTTGGAAAAAGGTTTGAACTTCGAGGAAGTGGAGCGGATGCAAGTGAAATCACTTGTACGGAGTCACACTTGCAGGTGACCCAGTTGTTCATGCGCAGTCAATCCTGGCGCAAGTGGAAGGAAAATAGGATATCGTGCGGTGCCCGATTTTGTGATAGGTTTCCATTTGACGCTAGCCATAGAAGGCCTTTGGCTTGAACGGCTTCTACCATCAAGCTCCACCGCTTGCATGTTATACATGTATATGTTTAATGAGTTGTGTGTGTGGTCATAAAAGGGGACGGTCATTCTCCCATTCGTCGGGGTTAATATACCCATTGTATCCCATGGTGAGAAATCCACTGAAATTCCACATGATGGTGGGATGACCATACCCCATATGCCATGTGTTTGACCATGCCATGCCATGCCTGTTTCGAAAGGTTGTTCCTGGATCACGTTGGGACCCCTAAAGCACACCAGGATCGAGCTGTCAGTCTCATCCGAGCTATCAGTCTCATCGACCTGGTGATGGGGAAGATGCAGATGCTGAGCGTTATCATGGCGTTACCATGGGGCTATCAGTTCTCCAAACGGTCCAAACGGTCCAAACGGTCCAAACGGTCCAAACGGTCCAAAGGGTCCAAAGGGTCCAAAGGCATGTCTCTGTAGTTTGTCAGTAGGGAAACAGAGGTGGTAGACCAATGCCATCCAATGGCTACGGTTAGCGTGAGAGTGTGTGAGAGAGAGAGAGAGCGAGAGCGAGAGAGAGAGAGTTTTAGGGAGAGAGAGCGAGACAGAGAGCGGAAAAAAATGAAAACAATCACAGCCCCATGGCTGACACGTGATAAGATGTGATAAGATACAAAGCCATAGGCCAAGAACCTCACGTAACTGTAGAGCCCTTATTCAATGAATCCAGATATATCCAAAATTCCTTCCCCAAAAAAAGGAAATAGACAGAATAGATTAATTTTGCTTTATCACTTGCTGCCTGAGAATATTCCGGGTGCATCATCCTCGTCCTCGAGTTTGCCAACTGCATCTCCGGCCCCGTCCTCCCGAGCAGTGCCTATGCCAAGGCGCTAAGAGGGGCCGTTTTTGGAGTTTTCGTTGCCATGGTGCACATTGCTGGATTTTGCTGATTATCTACAAGTGTTCACAATGTCTGTATTTTTTTTGTATATATATATATACAGTATATGATATAATATAATATAATACAATATAATATAATATAATTTTGTACAATATATATACTATCGTTTATTATGTACTGTAGTTTTATGTTTGTGATGTTGAGTGGACCAGTCATTGGGCAGTTGAACTGCAGCGGTTAGGAAATTTGTTTGGAAACCTTTCTGCATCTATTTTTTTTTGGAGGAGCGTAGTTGCCAATGGTCATGCATGTAATTTTTTCTTATCCCAGTGCCGGCTGAAAAACCGCGACAGGTTTTTCGCAACATACCTTACGGGTCCTGCAGAAGTAGTGCCCATTGAGGCTTGGCAACGGGTGCATACTCTATGTTTGAAGAATGTTTTTGGTGGAGCATGTGTTTGAGACAGGTTCACCGATTCTTTTCTGACACTCACCCGTACCATTTAGGCGGTGTTTCCGCAAACCTCTGGTTTCCTCTATCAAGTGTGATGATTTTTTTAGCTAGACATTTTTTGGAACAAAATGAACAAAACTCGTTGTAACAAAAAGATGCAAAAAGTGGAAACTGCTAGTTTACAATTCGGTAATCGTGAGCCGTGTGCTGTATGGGTTGGAGCCCCTTGAACCTACAGAAACTATTGGTCAGATGCTCGACGCTTTCCAACTAAAAGGATTGCGCAAGATTCTCAATTTACACACCACACGATGCCTTAGAGGCCCCTTCGGTAGGCCCACTTCGAAAAATTAAACCGCTGACTGAGATTCTCGAGGAGAAATGTTTAAGACTTTTGGGGAATGTGCTCAGACGGCCAAGATCGCATCCTCAGCACCAAGTCACTTTCAATTCGATTCTTGCGAGACCAAAAGCCCCTAGGTTCAGTAGAGTAGGCAGACGCAGAAAAATTTGGACAACAGAAATATGCGCAAAGCTTGGGAAATTATTCAACAAACCGATAATACTCAGCCAAATGTTCCTTTTGATCCAGCCAACCAGGCAATTCGGGAGGCATTAATGCTGCGGCGCGGAACTACCAAGCCCCTTTTGACTGATTCCCACCATCTAAATTTCAGTCATATGATGACTACGGTAGTCCCTCCTTGAATACACTCTTTTGAATGTGCTCTGTTTGAACGCTACTCTATGTGAATTCTGCCCTGCGCATCTCTCGAGGAAAGTTGATCGCAGTTACAGATATGATAGCGCTCAGATGCGCTCAGTTTGAACATCTCTTTGTGAACCTCTCCATGCGAACTGAAATTCCGGCAAGTAAGACCATCTTGCAATGCTACTTGACAATTTGATTATCGATTCTTGATTCTGAATAACAAACAATTAAGCCCGAAGTGAGAGTTCTTCTTGTACAGTGGTAGCACTCTTTTTTCAAAGTTTTCCTCCTGTCCATAGGATCCATAGGTTCCTTCGTTTCTTTATTCACCTTGTTCACACAGCAGGGTTTAGGGCCAACGGCCGTGTGAGTACAGCAAAGGTGGCTTGGGGCAGCCAAACAAAAAGTGTGATGACTTGGGATCACTCAAGAACAGTGCTTGCAAGTGCAGATGTTAAGTTGCACCAACGGTAAGCCAATCATAACCTCAGGTGTCGTTTCAAGCCGCTGTACACTGTAGGCCAGATTGTTGGAAGCTTTGGCAAAGAGAGTTGGATGAAACGCAAGACCCATGCAGATATAAACCAGGTCAAAGAAAGACATGTACCCGCATGTTTTGTTCAATGATGTTTATAATGATCATGGACCGCAAGGAACTCAGGCTTGAGCTTCCAAGTATTTCGCAACGGGGCTTAACTTTCGTTTGTCTTGTTGCAGCATTGCAGTATGGAAATATAGAAATAAATATATATGAAGCAGGCCCCAATTATGCCTATAGAATTGTAAAGATAGGATACAATATCCTGTCATATCCTATAATACATTTTTATAAATTTGAAATAGTTTAATATGACATAACACAATATAGCATGATATGGTACATAGTGTATCATAGTATCATACATAGAGTAATTTCATTGACTTGAATATTATATTGAACGATATTCTGTAATGTAATCTATATTTTTATATATAATATGATATCATATAATCTTAGGGTCGGATTAATTTTAATAAGGCCTGTATTGTTTTTCAGGATTTCAGTTTCAATCAATGAGAAAAGAATCTCACAATATAGGACATCATCACACTAATCGGTGTACTACATTATATAGATGCAACGGGAATGTCCGAAAAAGTGGATACCTGATTTCTCCCACCAAAGGGATCCATTTGCGGTCCGACCATTCTTGGACATACCGTTTTTATCCGTTTTTTCAAGGGGAACATGACACTGTTGGAGCTGCTCCGACCGGTGCAGGATTCTGACTCCTCAATGCCTGCCACGGGACAGACGAGCAGGCCCCGGGCAGCAAGGTGAGGGAACTGGGGATGTAAAATTTCATGGTTCAAATATGTTAGAAGGTTTATTCCGAAACTTGCCAAGAAGTCCCTTGTAGCCTACAGTTCCAGCTGAAATTTATTTGTGACTATAAAAATGACCAAGTAGGACCATAAAAATACTGCAACTAAATGGTTAATGAATGTTAATGAAAGACATTTAGTTTTCCAGTGACATCCCCAGATGCTCTGGTGCCATGGCCTATTTTTTCAGGTTAGGTCCTCGACAAAGTGAAGACGTGTCGATGCCTATGTCTACGGCACCTTCGGACGAGCAGACCGTGCAGAATTCGGGCAGTCAGACAGGGAGCCAGGCGTACAGTACTATGTGGCTTGCTTAAAAAGTTTGAAAGATCCAGTGATCAAGGCACCCGGAGCTATGAAAACATACAAAAATATCAAAATTATGATAAATTATGTACACAAAATATATGATATATATATAATATGTATAAATATACAGATTTTTTGTACATGATATTGTATTATTTGTATTGTACACATATATATATATATGTATATATATATAGAGATCGAATCCAATGATTTATGGTGACGCCATGTGCGGTTTAGGCTACTGCTGATATTTGGCCAAGTGGTGGAATTCGTGCGACCAAGGTATGGCACGTCTGCCCTTGCGAATGCCACAACTGCAACGACCAATTCCAACTCATCGGGATCAGATCCTTGACACAGCCATGGGCCATGGACTAAACCTGATGACCTGCTGGATTTGATGGATGAATTTCTGTGCCGATGTCCCATAAGATGCTGCATTTGGATGCATTTGGAACTTGCTCAAGGAAGTACAGTAATTGATTCTCGCTGGTTTTGCCTGTTAGGTCCGTGTACTTCAGTCCTTGGCAGGTGTGTTTCAATATGCGCATATCAAGATGAGGCATGTGTTGAAGTTGGGACGTAATTCCGAAAAAGTTGTGGCTGGTTACTTTCCTGGCACCAGCCTAAGGATTTCGATATCCCAGGCAACCAAGCTGCAGAAAACAGAGCAAATCTGTCAGACGATGCCAGATACTTCTTCTCTTGAAGTGTGGGTCGTCAGATCGTCCAATTTGCATCTGAGGCGTGAGCCAAATCTCAAGTGAAGAGAGCAAGGAAAGTGAGCCCCCTCCGGCTCCCCTGCAGGTGCGACTTGTGGCGCTTGGAGCATGAGTAGACGAGCAAAGTGGGATTTGATTGGCTGTGGAGGATTTTGGTGATTGGATGTGCAGATCAATCAAGCCAGAGCATTATGTTCAGGGTGACTCTTCTGCTGGCACAGGGGAGAGGGTGCGGGAGCGTAAGTCAGCCAGGCAGTCAGTCAGCCAGGCAGTCAGTCAGTCAGTAAGCCCGTATAGCACGTGATTCACACAGCACAACAGCATACAGTACCATAAACAGTACCATACACTATCACGAACTGTTATAGTGTGCAACTCAACTGGAGCGGCTTTACAAATGCCAGGTGTTCAACAGCCTCGAGCAGCATCAAAATGGCACCTGCTCCTTGGGCACAGAATGTTGGTGGGCCCCCTCGCAACCCCAAAGTTGCAAATAACTAAGTAAGAATTATTTTCAGACAGACATGTGTCATGCAGTTTTTGGTCCAAGTTGAACTTGAGAACCATCTCTCCAGTCGGTCCTCCGTCCTACTGGAAGATCAAATCATGAATGACGTGTCCAGAGTCTAGATATGTCTAGAATTGTCTTGATGGTTCTAGATGGTTCCAGATGCAGGAGACTCCTACCATCGGCGATCACTGAAGGACACGTTCTCCTGAAAAAATGCATCGCAAAGTGGCTTTGAGCGGTGGTTTCTGACATTTTATGCAACATTCTGCAACACCTCCTAGGTAAACCGTGCCGGTTCTTCCAGTTGCACCTTGGCCTCAGTGGGAAAACATCCAGGCGGACAGTTTTGATTCAAGGCACGCTTGAACCTGGACAGTGCTCATAGGCTTTCATATATACACCATTTCCATGTCCATCCATTTCCGGGGTGCCCATTGGGTGCCCATTTGTGGAGCTTTTTGACAAGGAAAGAGACCGGCTGCCGACTTGGAGACACTTGCAGGTGGGATTCGCATGGTGAATCATTGCGGGTGGGTAATTGAACGTGGCATACGTGGCGGCGTTGCGTTTTTGATGTTTGTGGATTCTGTGTCGTGTTGCGATGTGTTGCGTTTATCAATGGATTTCATGTTTTTTGTCACGTTTGCGTCTCATTTCCGTCGGATTTCATGATTTTCTGTGCGCAGGACAATAAAATTTGACATTGTATCCCCAGAAAACAACTCTGTTTCTGACGGGTCATGCCACAAAGTGATAGTGCGGGCATTGTTTTGGCACATCAAAGTGGTCCCGTTTTTTTTCTGCAGAGCCGGTGACACCAGTTTGGTTATACATTTGTGCCAAGGTCTTGCCAGAAAGAGACAACCCCACTCCAAGTTGTCACGTAGCACATCCTTGGCGTAGCCCCCCAGTCGTAAAAATAGTGACAACTACACGTTCGGTTGTCCACCAGTAGGCTGAATCATCATGAATCATCGAGGTATGATATTAAAGGGACAGATCAAAAACCTATCTGGACCTATCTAATCTATGTAGTGAAGCAGGCAGCACTCTTGGAGAAGGTAATGGAGGGAGAAAAAGAGAGAGAGAGAGAGAGCTGCAGGCATGGGCAGTGTGACTAAACTTGTTAAACGTATTCGGTGTGGTTACTGTACTACCCCACATGTCACTACAGACTCAGTTTTGTGACATGCTGCAGATTTGTTGTTGAATGATGTTGAAGTCGAAGCGTACTTTGTTCATAGTCCAGCTGCATCAGTTGCATCGCGACTGAGGTTTTGCCACTTTTGCTCTAGAGAACAAGCGAAATCAGATCGTCTCCGGGTGAAATACGAAGTGCGCAGAAACAAGCGGCTGAGATCCCTTCATGGCATCTTGGCCTCATGGTATTGGGGGGGCGGATGTACTCCAAAGGGGTATTCTGCAGGATTCTGCACGGATGTTGGACTTTGACTCATTGCAGCTGATTTGGAAATGCTACTGTGGCTCGTCACCTGGAAGTGCATACATTCGGAGATCCCGTGAAATCCTCGGCAGCATTTTGGTTAGTTTCCCGACTTCCCTGTCTCCATCCAAGGGCTGTTGAATCTCCCCAGACATTGCTGTAAGGCTGTAAGGTGTCACACACTTGCTCAGAACTGTCATCGCGAATTTTGTTGTGGAATGCATCTTACGTGCAAAAACACTCCAATTACACCTGACAGGAATGGGTCGGTGAAGAGACCCGACAAAGTATCAAGAAGCTACCATGGCCATAGCCAGTGCAGAAAATCGTTGAATTGGAAGCTGACCCTTCCCCTTTCAACTTGAAAGTTGAAAAAAAGATTGCGAAAACCGTACAGAAAAAGAAGTGATTTCAGGTTGTTTGAAAACAACCTGGTGGTTCTTGGGTTAGCCACTGCCCCTCAGGTACGCAGAGCTGATCGGGCTCTGTATCACCACAAACTGACAGTGTCTTCGTTGGGCGGTGTCTGTCAGTCGTGCACTGCCCCTGCAAATCTGAAATGCAATACAATGAAATCAAGACCTAAAAGAGGAACAGAATACCGGAAGTCCAGCAGGTTAGAAGTTTTCCATCTCTTCAGATGGTTCACACACACGCCGCTGCCGCGGGGCTTTTTAAGGCTCCGGGAAATGAGATGAAGGCGAAGATGAAAGGGGAATGGAAGTGAGGTGACGATGAGAATGAGATAATGACAGTTACTTACCCGGGACACGAGACGGGGAACGCAAAAGAGGACGGGAAAAAGGGAGAACACCAACACCAACACACCTAGCCGCTACCTAGCCCAGAAAGGGCAGACCCTGAAAGGGCAAGGGAAAAGAAAAAGTGGACGGACGAAGGGCCAAACACCGACCAGAGGAGGGGGGGAGGACGTAAGTGCCTGACACAACCTACAAGGCGAGAGCCAAAACTTACCTCGGCACGCGAAGGACCCAAACCTGACCTAGAGAGGGAGCACGCATGAGATAGGAGACCTACGGGGAACTAATTAATAAAAAATGCATCCACAAAGTCATGCATGATTCGCGATAAGGGTCAAGGCCCTCGGTAGTCATTTCAAAATATTTCAAACCCTTTGAACAGCTTAAGCGTTCAACCCTCGAATTAGTGCACCATTGAACTTCACCAAAACAACCAAAAGAAAGTGACCACACCTAAAAGGCATGTCCTGAAGCCTAAACCTTGTCATGTTGCAATGCTACAAGCTGAGCACTCTCTCGAGCAACGTTGGAAAAAGAAGGTTGCCGCGGCTTCCAGCTATGCAGACATTCAAACCAAAATTAAAGCCCGAGACAGCGGAAAATTGCTCAACCGAGACTTCCGACAGGGTGAGAATCGAAAAAATGCCATTTGTTATATCTGTTTCACTTTACTCAGACGAATTACTAGGTTAAAAATGTAAATTCAGAGATCAAGTCGAAAAGGATCCAACATCCTACCTAGACAGGTATTCCCCGAGGGGTTCACGACATCGTGTCGAACCGACGTAAGTAACACACTTGCTCAGAACTGTCATTGCGAATTTTGTTGTGGAACGCATCTTACGTGCAAAAACACTCCAATTGCACCTGACAGGAATGGGTCGGTGAATAGACCCGACAAAGTATCAAGAAGATGGCCATAGCCAGTGCAGAAAATCGTTGAATTGGAAGCTGACCCTTCCCCTTTCAACTTGAAAGTTGAAAAAACACATTGCGAAAACCGTACAGAAAAAGAAGTGATTTCAGGTTGTTTGAAAACAGCCTGGTGGCTCTTGGGTTAGCCAGCGCCCATCGCGAGAAAATAAAATTGGATGCGGGGACACAGAGCTGATCAGGCCCTGTATCACCACGAACTGACACTGTCTTCGTTGGGCAGTGTCTGTCAGTCGTGCACTGCCCCCCTGCAAATCTGAAATGCAATACAATGAAATCAAGACCTAAAAGAGGAACAGAATACCGGAAGTCCAGCAGGTTAGAAGTTTTCCATCTCTTCAGATGGTACACACACACAGACATATACAAGATGCCAAAAGTATTGGAAAGTTGTGCGAAGGGCAGTTGAAACATGTTAAACTTGAGGACAAGCGGAGGTGGCATTCAGCTATTCTACAAGCGGGGAGGAGTAGCAGAGTTGGAGAACGCGCCAACCGGTCGTTGGTCTGCCAGCGGAGCAGGGGGGTGGCCTTCCTGCGCAGTGAGCGCATGCGTATCACATGGGGATACATGGTGTACGCTTGCGGGAACTCGGTATTGGTTTAATTTGACCAGTGCCTTGTTTCGAGGACACAATCGCCGCAGGCACAGTCGCGGAGAGCCAGCAACAGAGCTGCTGCAAGCATCCGTGAAATGACAAAAAGCTGCTTTTGCAGAATGCCTTTTGAAGAATTATTTTGATTTTATTTTGTAGCTTCTGCGCGCCTGAATCATGAGAAGTCCAAGTTCTTTGTTGAAAGCAGAAGAAAGTAGAGCACACTTAGGGACAGCCGGTCCTCCAAGAACAGTGGCATTGAGAAGCAGTGTGCGCAGATTGCTTTGTATTTAAAACTTTATGTATGTTGCCCCTGTTTTTCCAGCCGCCCGATGTCTTAGTGACAGATGGCAGATGCTGGAAGAGCAGTGGGGAAGACCAGAAACCTTGCTGGTACAGAGAATTGGGGCATGTTTTTACATGTCCTGGATAGCAATACCCTTCGAAAAATGAGAGGACCCCACAAAGATTTTTGCACTTTGTAGTGTTACAGGCACCGGCGTTCTTCCCCGCATCTCAAGCATGCTCCGCTGGAAGGCCTCAAGCAGGGTATGGTGATGTGGCCCGATACATTATGACTCTGTTGTGCTTTGTTCATTTCGGATTTCTTTCTGAACATGTCACGAGCATCACAAGTGTGCGGGGCCAAAGCTGTATACCTTGCCATGGCCGTTTGATCCGGCGAAATATATCTCAAAATGGTGGCAAGGAGATGGAACAGCGGGCACATGGGCACATGTTTATCCTCATTGTGTTTTGTAATGTGTTTTAATCATACCTGAGACACAACCGTTGCCATGTGCCACTTTCTCCAGACATGACTGTGACATCTCCACCTTCGCAGCTGCCCAACCTGTGGCAGGTTCGAATTTGGCAGCCAGCTCCACGCAAACACTCTAAACAGACATGAACACAATAAATAAACGACTCATGATCGTCCTCATCCTCGTCCTCATCCTCGGCCTCATCCTCGTCCTCATCAACATCCGCATCAGTATCATCATCACCATCATCATTGTCATCATCATTAACATCATCATCATCATCATCATCCTCATCCTCGTCGTCGTCATCATCATGGCTATCGTCATCATTGTCGTCCTCCTTTTTTCGTCGTCGTCGTCGTCGTCGTCATCATCATCATCATACGACATTTACATCATCATGTAACCTTACGTATGTGTATATATATATGTGTATATATGTGTATATATATATAACTATGAAATATATAGTGTATATATGTATATATGTGTGTGTAGCATGGTATAGTATGGCATTGCATGGTATGGTATGGCATGGTACTCACATGCACTGTGCCATGGACTTTCAGCATAAATTGACTTGTCCCCGGTTGTACTTCCTGACAGGCTTCCGGACCTCTGGATTTATAATGTGTGTGTCTCTACCTTGAAAGAAATGCATTGAACGAAATCAGGGTGGATTGAAAAATCCAGCAGCTGACAAAGAAGATGTTGGTCACTTTGGGTTTGGATCTGTCTCGGGTAGTTGACCATTTTTGTCGTTTTTGCGACAGCTCTAGATTGGCATCATCAGCTAGCTGACTCATCAAACAGTATGTATGTATGTAATGTATGTATGTAATGTATGTATGTAATGTATGTAATGTAATGTAATGTAATGTATTGTAATGTATTGTAATGTAATGTAATATGAAGAAATGAAATGGTATGGTATGGTATGGTATGATATGCATGTAATTGCGTATCTAATGTATGTAACGTAAGTAATGTAACTAATGTAATGCCATGTACTGTAATGTGATGTGATGTGATGTATGTAATGTAATGTATGTAAGGTATGTATGTATGTACGCAAGTATGTATGCATGTTATGTATGTTATGTATGTATGTATGTATGTACGCATGCATGCATGTAATGTAATGTAATGTAATGTAATGTAATGTAAGTATGTATGTATGTATGTATGTATGTATGGGTGCATGTATGTATGTATGTAATGGATGTAATTATGTATGTATGTATGTATGTATGTATGTGTGTATGTATGTATGTACGTACGTACGTATGTATGTATGTAATGTATGTAATGTATGTAATGTTTGTTTGTTTGTTTGTATGTATGTATGTATGTTTGTATGTTTGTATGTATGTATGTATGTATGTATGCTATGTATGTATGGTATGTATGTATGGGGTATGTATGTATGGTATGTATGTATGGTATGTATGTATGGTATGTATGTATGGTATGTATGTATGGTATGTATGTATGTATGTATGTATGTATGTATGTATGTATGTATGTATGTATGTATGGTATGTATGTATGGTATGTATGTATGGTATGTATGTATGTATGGTATGTATCTATGGTATGTATCTATGGTATGTATCTATGGTATGCATGTATGGTATGTGTGTATGGTATGTATGTATGGTATGTATGTATGGTATGTATGTATGGTATGTATGTATGGTATGTATGGTATGTATGGTATGTATGTAATGTATGTAATGTATGTAATGTTTGTACTGTATGTAATGTATGTAATGTATGTTTGTATGTATGTATGGTATGTACGTATGTAATGTATGCATGTATGTATGCATGCATGCATGTATGTAATGTATGTAATGCATGTAATGTATGTAATGTATGTAATGCATGTAATGTATGTAATGTATGTAATGCATGTAATGTATGTAATGTATGTTATGTATGTAATGTATGTAATGTTTGCAATGTATGTAATGTATGTAATGTATATAATGTATGTATGGTATGTATGGTATGTATGTATGTATGTATGTAGTGTATGTAATATATGTAATGTATGTAGTGTATGAGGGGAATGTATGGTATGTATGTATGTATGCATGCATGCATGCATGCATGCATGCATGCATGCATGCAGCATGTATGCATGAATGCATGTATGTATGTATGTATGTATGTTCGTATGTATGTATGTAATGTATGTATGTATGTCATGTATGTATGTATGTAATGTATGTATGTATGTATGTATGTTTGTTTGTGTGTAATGTATGTATGTAATGTATGTAATGTATGTAATGTATGTAATGTTTGTACTGTATGTACTGTATGTAATGTATGTAATGTATGTAATGTATGTAATGTATGTAATGTTTGTACTGTATTTAATGTATGTAATATATGTAGTGTATGTATGTATGTATGTATGTATGTATGTGTGTGTGTATGTAATGTATGTATGTATGTATGTATGTATGTAATGTATGTATGTATGTATGTATGTATGTATGCATGTATGTATGTATGTATGTATGCATGTATGGCATGTATGGCATGTATGGCATGTATGGCATGTATGGCATGTATGGCATGTATGGCATGTATGGCATGTATGGCATGTATGGCATGTATGGCATGTATGGCATGTATGGCATGTATGGCATGTATGGCATGTATGGTATGTATGGTATGTATGGTATGTATGGTATGTATGGTATGTATGGTATGTATGGTATGTATGGTATGTATGGCATGTATGGTATGTATGGCATGTATGGCATGTATGGCATGTATGGCATGTATGGCATGTATGGCATGTATGGCATGTATGGCATGTATGGCATGTATTGCATGTATTGCATGTATTGCATGTATTGCATGTATTGCATGTATTGCATGTATTGCATGTATTGCATGTATTGCATGTATTGCATGTATGCATGTATGCATGTATGCATGTATGCATGTATGCATGTATGCATGTATGCATGTATGCATGTATGCATGTATGCATGTATGCATGTATGCATGTATTGCATGTAATGCATGTAATGCATGTAATGCATGTAATGCATGTAATGCATGTAATGCATGAAATGCATGTAATGCATGTAATGCATGTAATGTATGTAATGTATGTAATGTATGTAATGTATGTAATGTATGTAATGTATGTAATGTATGTAATGTATGTAATGTCTGTAATGTCTGTAATGTCTGTAACGTATGTAACGTATGTAACGTATGTAATGTATGTAATGTATGTAATGTATGTAATGTATGTAATGTATGTAATGTATGTAATGTATGTAATGTATGTAATGTATGTATGTATGTATGTAATGTATGTAATGTATGTAATGTATGTAATGTATGTAATGTATGTTATGTATGTTATGTATTTTATGTATGTAATGTATGTTATGTATGTTATGTATGTAATGTATGTAATGTATGTAATGTATGTAATGTATGTAATGTATGTAATGTATGTAATGTATGTAATGGATGTAATGTATGTAATGTATGTAATGTATGTAATGTATGTAATGTATGTAATGTATGTAATGTATGTAATGTATGTAATGTATGTAATGTATTAATGTATGTATGTATGTATGTATGTATGTATGTATGTATGTATGTATTACACACACACACATATATATACATCGGGTACGACATGACAAGAACATCCTGGATGGCAAGTGCAAGCTTCTGAGGTCGTGATCGTCATTCCAGGCTGGGCTGCAAACTGTGGGACAAAGGGTGGGCTGGCGTCCGGTTTGGATTTGCCCCTACTTAGCGCCCTGTTGTTATCCACACCGTTTGTCAACTTTGTTTTGGAGGCCTGGGCTGATATACAAATCAATCGAAAAACATCAAGACACATCAAACAAATTCAAACCAATATACACTATGTATAACATCATCAGATATTCACAAAATATATCAAACGGAAAGAATTTCAGGCTCTTGCAATGTTCTGGAACTTGAACGGCCCAGGCTTGGGGCCCAGTCACGCTCAAGAGGAGCCGGGGCCGGGCAGCTGGGTAGTTTCCATGCACATCCGTGTAGCAACGCGAGTCTCACCTAAGCTATAGCTGTTTGCAAGGAGGGCGGCATAGTTGACTCCTGAGATTTGCACTTTGTTCTGCAGTCCGTTTCTGCCAATGTTCAATCCTGCGCGGTCTCAGATGTATTTGAGACCAGAAAAGAGGAAAGAAGCGATCATTGCATGATGTCTCAAGAAATGCGGTTTGCGAGGATTGAAGGATGTTGAAGGGGAAGTAGTTGAATTTTTGAAAATCATGTGCAGTTCCCGTGAAATGTGCAGTCCATTGAGGCCATAGAAGAGATGACAGAGACGACCGGGATGAAGTTGGCAAGAGGGTGCGCATCTATCACTGTTTGATCAACTTCAGCTGAATTTGAACATAGAGGATTATAGGATCGTATTTGTATCATATTAGGTTTATCTGAGAGTTGGGCATCCCTAAATCCATTGAATAATCATCAACATATCAACATCATCAGTTTCCCCGAGTTCCCCTCGGGCCACATGGCAGGTCGTGTCTCTAGATGACATTGTCGGAACCAATGAGAACATCTGCTTGGGCAGTTCCCTCAGCCAGTGACGATGTCAGACTCTGACTGCCTGGCTCGTCAAAAATGTTGATTTTATGAGTTTGATTCATTTTATCCATGATTACAAGATATTACAAGACATTACAAGCAAGATGCCAAGTGGTCCAAGTGGATATCTTTGAGTATCGTGTGATTGTTTGCCCTGGACACCTGCTGGAAAAAAACTGACACTGACACTGGCCCTGCTCAGATGATAAATTCTCAGATGGTTCCGGCCTGAGTGACTCCGAGCAAAACGAGCAAAACGAGCAAAACGTGAACATGAGGCTAGTTAATTCACACCCCATTACTTTTAGAGTAACATCCCATTGACATTCCATTAACATCCCATTAACATGAACTCAAGGAATGCTTCGAATATCCTGAGGACGTCCGCTCACAGAGCTTGTGGACCTGCTGCTGCTTGGAGAGGCAGGACGGCAGGACAGCACCAGCGACTCACCATGGAGCCGCTACCCCATTTATATAGTGGGATGGGTTATAGCTCTCGATAGCACCCATTAATATCCATTAATGATGATAATCCGGTAAACCCAATAATAAACTTGATAAACCATCCCATTCACCAACCATGACTGGGGATCATTTTACATCCGAAATGGTGGTATACCCAAGAAATCTATGTTGGGGATGGTTTACGATTAGCTTTGCCACATCAGGGCAGCTTCGGGCATGGGTCAGGGTGACAGGAGGCCCTGATCCAGACGCATGAGCGAAGAGTTGAGTTGCAGGGAATCGCCCGCCATTCGGCTTTGTCGGCTTTGTTTGCCAAGTGCCTCTTTAGATACCTTTGGGCTGTTGATTGAGAATGTCTGAGACTTACATTTGAAGTTGTTGCCTTGCTAGCACTTACTGCAAGCCGAATATCATCTGCAGAGCATGGCAATCTTCCCATCCCCCAGATGCACAGTCGCCAAAAAAACATGGCACCCTGTGATACAACTTTTGGCCTCTTTTGGTCATGGCTCTTGCCGCTTCCAATATGTTGTTTGCTCGGTCCTAGCAATGTCTTGGGGCAAATGGCTTGGCAAACACGACGTCCACATCACTGGAGCAGCGAAGGGCAACCGCCGTGCAGACAAGATCTTCGACCATGGTCCGAAGAAGGCAGGGTGGGTCACAACTCACAACTTTCTTTTGCTGTCATTCCTGAAAATGCCAGGTTTTTTTGACAAATTCCAGCAGAGAGCATTGAGTCCATTGGTGCTTGTTGACTGGCAGATCTGCAAACCAATGTACTCAGCTGGTACATTCTGCAATTCGAGGGGCTTGTGCCCTTCCCAGCCCCTTCCCAGCTGGCAGGTATGGCCGTTTGCTCCTACTTCTATGAAGCAATGCCAGAGGGCACATCGGTAGAACGTCTGGAGCGTTTTGAGAGCCAGGAGCTGCTGGGTCGAATGGGATTTCCATGGATTTCCGTTGGGTTTAGGATACAAAAAGAAGCCACTTTCAGATACTTTCAGTGGGTACCGGCTTGTTTGATTGAGTTATATCATATACGTAGTTATATCATATTGATCATATTGAATTGATGGGAATTTATTTGGGAATGAATGGTCCCAAGATGCCGAATTTCTTCAGATTTCTTCATCTCGCAGAAGTCATGACATGGCAGGCGAGCTACCTGCCCTTCGCAGCCTACCGCCAAGCTGTGGCTGCCGAGCTTCAAAAAGATGTGGAGCACGTGGAGTTGTGGCTCTTCCACGGCACGGAGCCGCGGCGAGATCCGATGATATCCGATGTCTGGGTCTGATCCAATGGGAATAGGACGAATAGGTTGGTGAAGAGTTAAACATAGTTAAACCATGTTAAACCAATAATGTTGATCCATTACCAATAGCTGGGTTAAACCATGTTAAACCACTCAGCAAGAATTCATGCTTTTAATAATTGGTAACGTTGCCTTGACCAGTTTCTAGCTGTATGCCCGGCCAAGGATGCTGTGAACGCTGTCTTGGACAACGGATTCCGCATCAGCCATGCAAACCTGGATGTACGACACAACCGCTATGGTGTAGGACCACAGAGGGCGATGGGTAGTCAGTGTTTGGTTCGGGGAACAGCTGGCCGTTGCTTTAATTTCTGGAGGCTAGTTAGTCTATATTAGTCTTGTTTGGTTCTTGCTGCTTTGACTTCCATTTATTCCATTCTAGAAACAAGATGCTAGGAGTATACTTCGCCCGCGACCCCCGGCTTGCGCACTACTTTGCCCAGATGAGCAGAGGCTCCATGCATGCATTTATACACAGTATATATATAGAGTAAATATATTATATAATGTTATCACCTAGCTTCTTCAGAACTTTTCGTGGAAAGTCTGGTCCCTGTCTGCAGTTTTTTCTTCAACCACAACCTGAAATATGCAAGAGGATGCACTTCCAATACCCCCATAGGGATTATAATGCTTCACAATGTACTACTGAAGTTCCATTTCCATCTCTATCCGTTTTTGACTTGGCGCGTCATGCCCATCAGGCGTGTTACATCGTGTTGCATTGCCCAGAAAGAACTGCCCGACTGAGGTAGGACCGCCACTTCGACAACGTCACAGGCAGTGCGTCATGCGGATGTGACATGATGTGACTAGTGACTGGATCAATTGCCATGATCGGTGCGGTGGTTTCATCAAAGGCTGGTACTAACCATGCTGAAAGATGCTGAAAGTCGAGATGATGGCCATTATATGGCAACATGCTGTTCGTACAGCACCCTTTTTCAATTCAAATTTCTGAGGGCTTTTGTGCGCAGCAGACATTGGTAGGCGTGTGCTTACAGTAAGCCCTAAAAAGATAGAGCATTGAAATCCCCGATCACCGATCAACATCCTCTATGTTCTTATTCTTCGCAGGGGTCACACAAAAAGATGGCACGCAGTTCCCAGCTCTCTCACGGAAGGTGATCTTGGCGCGCGTGGTGGTGGGTCGTTGTGCTACAAAGGCTGCTGTCAAAGAGCAAAGGCAACTCCTCCGTCCGGAGCACCGTGAGCCACCCACAGGTGCTAAGAGCGGGTGGGATTTCATGTTGGGCTTGCCTAGCATTTTTTGGGGGAACATGATTCATGATGAAGAACCACTGGATTTAAAATTCAGAGGTACCCTATTTTGAGATAGACACCATTTGTTTTTTCTGGCTGGGAGTGGGCGGTCCAGGCTTCCACTCTTGCACCAGTGATTCTTTGCCTGGCCGCGAAGTGATCGTCTTTCCGGGGAGCCCTGGCACACCAGCATATCCGGCATACGTGGGATGCCAAGTCGATGACAAAAAAACGGCTGGAAACAGCAGAGAGATGCAATGAGATGCATAGAAAATATATGAACATATTAGATATATTAGAAAATGAGATGGATAGGTATAGATAGAACTAACAGCCTACATTAGCTGTAGTCACTTGTTGTCACAACAGCGTCCACAAACGTGACACCATGTGGAGCTTGACAAAAAACACACTTGCTTCTTCCACTGCATGTCACTTTCCTTCCAAGGTGATCACTTACAAGTGCAGCTCAGCGCCCAACAATCCATACCGTGATCCTGATCTTCTCCGTGTCGACTTTGAAGATCGTGGCGGCGCGAATATTTTTCAACGATACAGGGCGCATTTTCGAAAATGCTTGAATTTTCCAAAAGCTGCAAATACTCCAGTCACCCGTAGAAGTTCCTTTCCAACTGAGCTGGAAAAACTGGAGGTCCGAAGGGAGCGCCCATCTACGTGTTCTCAGCGCTACCGACATGCAGAGTCCAAGATGGATGGCCCTGCCAAAGCGACAGATGGTGGGAAGCATACGGCAGATCGCAGTGCGAGGTCGGCACCCAATACGCCACGTTTGACGCAGAGCCACTTGGCCAAGAAAAATGCCAAACACAAAGAGGCTGGTGGCAAACCTGGAGTACCCAGAACAAGACGAGGTCGAAGAGCCTCATCCCCAGCAGTTCCGCAACAGGATGTCTCGGTTCAGGACGAACCACGTGCTGCTTCAGCGGGACAAGAAGTGCCAGTGAGGACGTTGTGGATTTTTGACGCAGAGCACGCCGACTCAGGCCAGTCAGATGTCAGATTGGAGGATCCACAGTCGAGCAAACCCGAGCCAGAGGAGCCACTGCCTTTGAGTTGTCAAGCCCGGCGAAGGTCAGGATTTGCTTTATCAGAAGCTGTGACTTGGAGAGCAGCAGCCCCTCTACCTGTTGTGGCTTGCCGCTTGGCAGCTGCAACCGTTCCTGATAGAACTGCCGTCATGGCCCTGGGTGGGGCAGATGCCTTGGGCTTCTCCCTTGATGCTGCGCACATCTTTGAGAACTCCAAGTGGACGGCCTTGCCACCTTTACCCAGCGGTCGGCAAGCGCTGGCAGCTGCGAGTCTGGTGGGTGGAGTTTGTGCCCTGGGAGGTCGAAGCAACAGCAGCTGTGGCAGCGCAACGGTCGCTGCTGATTTCTTTGATCTGGGTGCCGAAAGGTGGCTGGATCTTCCTCCTTTGATTGTGCCACGCGCATTCCACGCTGCTGCCGCATTGGATGGTAAGATCTATGTTTTGGGAGGTATGGATGCTGATGGTCGGCGATTGGCCAGCGTTGATTGGCTTGACCCTCGCGAAGGCAATTTGGCCAGGAATCACTTGGAATCATGAGGCTGTGTATCTCTAAGGTCTGTGTTAAAGCTTCAGCTGCCAAATCAATCATTTCCGTTGCTCTTCTTGCAGTTGAAAAGCGGTCCATAGAGTTGTGCTGGCAAAGATTGTGCCAGAAGGCCAGAATCATTTTTTGTGTACGTTCATTATAGCAAAATTAACAAAAAATAAAATGTAACACGTCACATATGATATATATATATATATAAATGATACTCATATTATATGATTTTGCCTTGTTTACGGTTTGCATGCCATAACATGTTCTCCCATCGTCCCATTGCAGGTCGCTGGCAAAGTGCTCCCAGCCTACTGAGCCCACGGAGTGCACTAGCAGCCTGCGCCCTGAACGGTTTATATGCTGTGGGGGGCTTGGACCTCAATGGAGCTACGCCACGAACCGAGCAACTGAGTTGCATAGCCTGCTGATGCCTGCTGATGCATGCTGATGCTTTCTGTTGCAGTCTGTTACAGCTCCCACCTGGAACAGAATGGAGCAGCTGAATTGCAGAATTTGGCTGCCTTTGTATCTTTGTCAGGTATCTGAATGTGCGACTCGGGGCTTGGATTTCGATGCCTTCAATGCCAACTGCCAGAGGAGGTGCGCATGACTCGCCCAGCCAATAAGAAGCCATGATAGCATATGGTAATATAATATATGGTAACTAATCATGGTGGTATGCCTGGCCTGATTGATTCTGACTTTGCTTAATGTTTTATCATGTTTTATCCTTTGTTGGAAGTTGGAGATTTCACGAGAGGCGAATCGTAGAGGGACATAATTGCAAGCTTAGTTGTCATGCACGGGAAGAAAACGAGGAGGTTTATGATGACAGTGCTTATGATGCTTATGATGCCAAGAGGGATCAGATGCAGATTGTGGTGCTGCTGAGGTGTCTCGTAATGGTGATGACAACGACGACCATGCTCATGATCATGATCACAATGATGATGATGGTGATGATGCTGCTAGTGGTAAAGACTGGGCATGACCGAACCCCTGTCACAACCGCAGGTTTGGCGGCCAGTTCATTTGGAGGTCCTCACGGTGTGCTTGTTGCCATTGGTGGTCGGCGAGGCTCGTGGTCATGCTGCGGGTGTGGGTGACAGAAATAGGCACAACTAAGGCAACATATGAATATGAATAATTATATATATATTATATATATATAACTATAATTTCTAAATTATATATCTTCCTCTATATATACAGATTTCCGGTGATTTCAGAGATGTCTTTCTGTGTACTGAAGCCGAGCGATGAACAATTGCTTGAGATAGCGATGGAGAGAGAAAGAGAGAGAGAGAGAGAGGGAGAGAGAGAGGGAGAGAACAGATTCTCGACAAACTATAGAAACTGGTAGTGACTGGCATTGTTGGTACGGTTTGATTTGTTGATCACTTTTCGAATCTACAGTATGTAGGTCATTCAAAGGGGGCTGTTCAAATTACAAATTTCTGGTCCCTTTGGCGACCTTGGATGATCCAAACACCGACACGATTGGATCGTCCTAGGTGCTGGTCTCAGTGCAGTGGAGCGTTTCCTTCCACGGAGTGCGTCTTGGTCTTCGATAGCACCGCTCCCACTGGCACGCAGCGCTTTAGCGGCGGCACCGCTTGATGAGCAGAGCTTGTGTTTTGGCAGCAGGGGTTGGTGATGTTTGGTGATGTTTGGTGAGCTTGAAAGTTGTGCTTGTGCCATAATTTTGTGCCTTGGAAGCTGAAGATTTTTCGTGCTCAGGTTGGTGATGGGGGGACTTGCTGATACGGCAGGTGCCCTCAGCACAGTGGAACGCTTCGAGTTGCGTCAAAGAATGACCTAGAGGTCATCATGGGTTGCAGGGTGTCACAAGATTAGTGAGGATGCGAGGAACGCTCCATCTTCCAGACTACATGGTGGCCTCGCATGGCAAGCTCAAATGAAGAGAGCGGTCATGAAAAGGTAGCAGTGTGGTAGCAGCACTTGTGGTCCTGTGGTCATTCCATCGGACCCCAGGTTGCTGCCGTTTGGCAATCAGAGCAGCTACAAGATGCTACAAGGCCCTCTCGGTGCAAGCCATTCCAAGGACGACAAAGGGACCTTCTGTCGCCCTGGCTGTGCAAGCCTGGTGGGCTGTCCCAATGTGCCTCGCGTTGATGTGACACGGAAAAAAGGAGCGGCTCGAGCACGGCAAGGGAATCCAAGGGATGCTAAGGGCTAACCACTGGTATCTTGATTCTTGTGGATGCAGTCACTCAGAAAGCCAGTCAGCTTGTCAGGTAGATCCGCTCAAGGATGACTTCCTGATGCTTGAATGTACAAGAGTTGAAGGCCGGAAGTGATCACAGCAAACCACACTTTGCATTTCAATAGATCCAATTCTCAGCAGCCTTTCCAACAACTTGAGGACTTGCTCATTTCAACCACGCAGCAAGGAATAGTAGCAGCAAAATCCTGAAGACACATGGGTTTGTCTTCAAATAGGCCACCCCTTAATTCACTTGTTAATGATCCCCATTAGAATAGCCATTTTGGAATGCTCCGGACTGGTGGCCGAAACGAGGAAGATTACGAACGGCGGACAACAAGCGATTGGCCTGCCCCTGCCTTTGCCATTTTCGGACATATCTACACAATTCTACACATGCACGGAAGTTTGAATTTTCGCAATCCTTTTTGCAATGACTTTGGTGGTTCGTATTAGTTCGTTGTGTGATATTAATTATCAATGACACAGCCAAATATCTCAATCAAATATCTCAACAGTGCCTATTTATTCAAATATTTTCTGTATTTCTTTGCCTTCACAGTCAGACCCTTGCCGAGCCTGGGTGTGAAGTTGACAATTGGACTAATTGCACCAACGAACCCTACGATTGGACTCAATGCTTGAACTGGCTGCCTTCAGTCGTGTTTATTGGCATCGGCCCAAGCTTTTTCAGCATTTGATACACTTCGGAACAGTTTATTCTTGTTTACTTTTCCTCAATATATGTACCTCCTATTTTTTTTGGTACATATCTGTGCCAGTCTGGTAACGCTCACAGTGTTCTCTCGGCCGAGGTCTTCGAGAATGGGCCAGGAGAATCAATCGTCCGGTGGACATCAGAGTGGAGGTGATGCCTCAGAGGGTGTCGAGGTGCATCGCACAAGGTGGTGCCCCAGTTCTCGTTGATTTGTAACTGGATGAACTAGGAACTAAGGCCATCTAAGGCCATTATAATCCCTGGGATATAATATGATATAGTATGATATAGATGTATCATATTATATCTACAGTATAGCTAGATGGCGGTTATACACCAATTTGGCTAACTATGGGGCACCACCTTGTACGTTATGCTAGATTTGGATGATGTATGCACTGCATGGTGCATTTGTAGATCATGTGTAGCTGAGTGCGTTCTTTCCGAATCGAGCAGACCAGCTGAGGTGACGGAGACCTATGGCGAGAAACACTACGTTTCAGAAGCATGGCTGCAGATTACCTGTTCTCTTCCTTCGCCCTCGCTGTTGAAACTGCACTAGCGTGACGGATGAGTATTGTGTGAAATGGCTCTTGCACATTGCACCCAGAACCTGACAGAAGCGCAGACTTGCTTGTTCCACAATGGATGGAGGGCTTCACAATGAGCTACCTCAGTTGGGATTGAGGTAGGGTTGTCGTAAATCTGTCCACGTACAATGAACTAGGAAGGTTGAGCCCAGGCGATATGTCAAGAACTTGCCTTTGTTTCCTTGCCGAGGCGTTCCTGCAGCACTACACCACGGAGAGTGGAAATCTCCCACGAGTGCGGGATGGCAGGTCGGGTCATCAT